GAGCAGGATGCGCGCCGCTGCTGCCATGCCCCTCTTCTCCCTCAGGTCTGCGCGGGGAAGGGTGAGGCGGTGGTGACGAGGAGGAGGGGACTTTTGAGTCGACTCAAAGGTCACCTCGTTACAATGGCACACAACACAAAAGGATGCGCGCCGCTGCTGCCATGCACCTCTTCTCCCTCAGGTCTGCGTGGGGACGGGTGAGGCGGCGGTGGTGACGAGGAGGAGGGAGGAGAGATTAAGGCCGAAGGAGGAGGGAGGGGGGAGGAGGGATGAGGAATTCTGGGAGGAGGGAGGAGGGAGGATGAGAGGGATTACTGACATGCCTGGACACAGTCAGTTGCCGCACAAGAAACCAAGGCAATCCTTGTCTACCCTCCGCACAAGAAACCAGGGCAATCCTTGTCTACCCTCCTCACAAGAAACCAAGGCAATCCTTGTCTACCCTCCGCACAAGAAACCAAGGCAATCCTTGTCTACCCTCCGCACAAGAAACCAAGGCAATCCTTGTCTACCCTCCTCACAAGAAACCAAGGCAATCCTTGTCTACCCTCCGCACAAGAAACCAAGGCAATCCTTGTCTACCCTCCTCACAAGAAACCAAGGCAATCCTTGTCTACCCTCCGCACAAGAAACCAGGGCAATCCTTGTCTACCCTCCTCACAAGAAACCAAGGCAATCCTTGTCTACCCTCCGCACAAGAAACCAAGGCAATCCTTGTCTACCCTCCGCACAAGAAACCAAGGCAATCCTTGTCTACCCTCCTCACAAGAAACCAAGGCAATCCTTGTCTACCCTCCGCACAAGAAACCAAGGCAATCCTTGTCTACCCTCCTCACAAGAAACCAAGGCAATCCTTGTCTACCCTCCTCGCAAGAAACCAAGGCAATCCTTGTCTACCCTCCTCGCAAGAAACCAAGGCAATCCTTGTCTACCCTCCTCACAAGAAACCAAGGCAATCCTTGTCTACCCTCCGCACAAGAAACCAAGGCAATCCTTGTCTACCCTCCTCACAAGAAACCAAGGCAATCCTTGTCTACCCTCCGCACAAGAAACCAGGGCAATCCTTGTCTACCCTCCTCACAAGAAACCAAGGCAATCCTTGTCTACCCTCCGCACAAGAAACCAAGGCAATCCTTGTCTACCCTCCGCACAAGAAACCAAGGCAATCCTTGTCTACCCTCCTCACAAGAAACCAAGGCAATCCTTGTCTACCCTCCGCACAAGAAACCAAGGCAATCCTTGTCTACCCTCCTCACAAGAAACCAAGGCAATCCTTGTCTACCCTCCGCACAAGAAACCAGGGCAATCCTTGTCTACCCTCCTCACAAGAAACCAAGGCAATCCTTGTCTACCCTCCGCACAAGAAACCAAGGCAATCCTTGTCTACCCTCCGCACAAGAAACCAAGGCAATCCTTGTCTACCCTCCTCACAAGAAACCAAGGCAATCCTTGTCTACCCTCCGCACAAGAAACCAAGGCAATCCTTGTCTACCCTCCTCACAAGAAACCAAGGCAATCCTTGTCTACCCTCCTCGCAAGAAACCAAGGCAATCCTTGTCTACCCTCCTCGCAAGAAACCAAGGCAATCCTTGTCTACCCTCCTCACAAGAAACCAAGGCAATCCTTGTCTACCCTCCGCACAAGAAACCAAGGCAATCCTTGTCTACCCTCCTCACAAGAAACCAAGGCAATCCTTGTCTACCCTCCGCACAAGAAACCAGGGCAATCCTTGTCTACCCTCCTCACAAGAAACCAAGGCAATCCTTGTCTACCCTCCGCACAAGAAACCAAGGCAATCCTTGTCTACCCTCCGCACAAGAAACCAAGGCAATCCTTGTCTACCCTCCTCACAAGAAACCAAGGCAATCCTTGTCTACCCTCCGCACAAGAAACCAAGGCAATCCTTGTCTACCCTCCTCACAAGAAACCAAGGCAATCCTTGTCTACCCTCCTCGCAAGAAACCAAGGCAATCCTTGTCTACCCTCCTCGCAAGAAACCAAGGCAATCCTTGTCTACCCTCCGCACAAGAAACCAAGGCAATCCTTGTCTACCCTCCTCACAAGAAACCAAGGCAATCCTTGTCTACCCTCCGCACAAGAAACCAAGGCAATCCTTGTCTACCCTCCTCACAAGAAACCAAGGCAATCCTTGTCTACCCTCCGCACAAGAAACCAAGGCAATCCTTGTCTACCCTCCTCACAAGAAACCAAGGCAATCCTTGTCTACCCTCCTCGCAAGAAACCAAGGCAATCCTTGTCTACCCTCCTCACAAGAAACCAAGGCAATCCTTGTCTACCCTCCGCACAAGAAACCAAGGCAATCCTTGTCTACCCTCCGCACAAGAAACCAAGGCAATCCTTGTCTACCCTCCTCGCAAGAAACCAAGGCAATCCTTGTCTACCCTCCTCGCAAGAAACCAAGGCAATCCTTGTCTACCCTCCTCACAAGAAACCAAGGCAATCCTTGTCTACCCTCCTCGCAAGAAACCAAGGCAATCCTTGTCTACCCTCCTCGCAAGAAACCAAGGCAATCCTTGTCTACCCTCCTCACAAGAAACCAAGGCAATCCTTGTCTACCCTCCGCACAAGAAACCAAGGCAATCCTTGTCTACCCTCCGCACAAGAAACCAAGGCAATCCTTGTCTACCCTCCTCGCAAGAAACCAAGGCAATCCTTGTCTACCCTCCTCGCAAGAAACCAAGGCAATCCTTGTCTACCCTCCTCACAAGAAACCAAGGCAATCCTTGTCTACCCTCCTCGCAAGAAACCAAGGCAATCCTTGTCTACCCTCCTCGCAAGAAACCAAGGCAATCCTTGTCTACCCTCCTCACAAGAAACCAAGGCAATCCTTGTCTACCCTCCGCACAAGAAACCAAGGCAATCCTTGTCTACCCTCCGCACAAGAAACCAAGGCAATCCTTGTCTACCCTCCGCACAAGAAACCAAGGCAATCCTTGTCTACCCTCCTCACAAGAAACCAAGGCAATCCTTGTCTACCCTCCTCGCAAGAAACCAAGGCAATCCTTGTCTACCCTCCTCACAAGAAACCAAGGCAATCCTTGTCTACCCTCCGCACAAGAAACCAAGGCAATCCTTGTCTACCCTCCGCACAAGAAACCAAGGCAATCCTTGTCTACCCTCCTCACAAGAAACCAAGGCAATCCTTGTCTACCCTCCTCGCAAGAAACCAAGGCAATCCTTGTCTACCCTCCTCACAAGAAACCAAGGCAATCCTTGTCTACCCTCCTCACAAGAAACCAAGGCAATCCTTGTCTACCCTCCGCACAAGAAACCAAGGCAATCCTTGTCTACCCTCCGCACAAGAAACCAAGGCAATCCTTGTCTACCCTCCTCACAAGAAACCAAGGCAATCCTTGTCTACCCTCCGCACAAGAAACCAAGGCAATCCTTGTCTACCCTCCTCACAAGAAACCAAGGCAATCCTTGTCTACCCTCCTCGCAAGAAACCAAGGCAATCCTTGTCTACCCTCCTCGCAAGAAACCAAGGCAATCCTTGTCTACCCTCCTCGCAAGAAACCAAGGCAATCCTTGTCTACCCTCCTCACAAGAAACCAAGGCAATCCTTGTCTACCCTCCGCACAAGAAACCAAGGCAATCCTTGTCTACCCTCCGCACAAGAAACCAAGGCAATCCTTGTCTACCCTCCTCGCAAGAAACCAAGGCAATCCTTGTCTACCCTCCTCGCAAGAAACCAAGGCAATCCTTGTCTACCCTCCTCACAAGAAACCAAGGCAATCCTTGTCTACCCTCCTCGCAAGAAACCAAGGCAATCCTTGTCTACCCTCCTCGCAAGAAACCAAGGCAATCCTTGTCTACCCTCCTCACAAGAAACCAAGGCAATCCTTGTCTACCCTCCGCACAAGAAACCAAGGCAATCCTTGTCTACCCTCCGCACAAGAAACCAAGGCAATCCTTGTCTACCCTCCTCGCAAGAAACCAAGGCAATCCTTGTCTACCCTCCTCGCAAGAAACCAAGGCAATCCTTGTCTACCCTCCTCACAAGAAACCAAGGCAATCCTTGTCTACCCTCCTCGCAAGAAACCAAGGCAATCCTTGTCTACCCTCCTCGCAAGAAACCAAGGCAATCCTTGTCTACCCTCCTCACAAGAAACCAAGGCAATCCTTGTCTACCCTCCGCACAAGAAACCAAGGCAATCCTTGTCTACCCTCCGCACAAGAAACCAAGGCAATCCTTGTCTACCCTCCGCACAAGAAACCAAGGCAATCCTTGTCTACCCTCCTCACAAGAAACCAAGGCAATCCTTGTCTACCCTCCTCGCAAGAAACCAAGGCAATCCTTGTCTACCCTCCTCACAAGAAACCAAGGCAATCCTTGTCTACCCTCCTCACAAGAAACCAAGGCAATCCTTGTCTACCCTCCGCACAAGAAACCAAGGCAATCCTTGTCTACCCTCCTCGCAAGAAACCAAGGCAATCCTTGTCTACCCTCCTCGCAAGAAACCAAGGCAATCCTTGTCTACCCTCCTCACAAGAAACCAAGGCAATCCTTGTCTACCCTCCTCGCAAGAAACCAAGGCAATCCTTGTCTACCCTCCTCGCAAGAAACCAAGGCAATCCTTGTCTACCCTCCTCACAAGAAACCAAGGCAATCCTTGTCTACCCTCCGCACAAGAAACCAAGGCAATCCTTGTCTACCCTCCGCACAAGAAACCAAGGCAATCCTTGTCTACCCTCCTCGCAAGAAACCAAGGCAATCCTTGTCTACCCTCCTCGCAAGAAACCATGGCAATCCTTGCCTACCCTCCTCGGTACCGACGTCACTACCATCATCATGCCCTCACCTAGCAGAGCACCGCTTGCACGATGTTCCACCCGTCCAGGTACAAGCTCCTGCCACCTGCCCCCGGGTGCCCGTGTACCCGCCCCCGTCGCAGTACAGCAGGCGCACCAGGTTCCACCCCCGTGCCAGTAAGCAGCCATGCATCATGAAACTTTTTGAGACGTCTCAAAAATTCACTTTATACACGTGGCTTCCACCCCCGTGCCAGTAAGCAGCCATGCATCATGAGCCACCCACCTTGCAGCACCGCCTGCACGATGTTCCACCCGTCCAGGTACAAGCTCTTGTTTCCCGCCACGTCCATGCGCCCTCTTGTGCCCGTGTACCCGCCCCCATCGCAGTACACCGGGCGCACCAGGTTCCACGCGTGGAAGGCGGGGTTGAATGCTGCGCTGCTGGATAGCAGCCCGGTAAACGCGGGGTATACCTTCTGAGGTGGGAAACGGAAGCGCGGGGAAGTCGCAAAAGGAAGAAGAGGCAAGGCAAACACGGGTATGACAAACGGAGGAGCAGAGGTGGAAAAGATGGGAAAGGTGGATTGAGGGGAGGGGGGGGGGAGGGGGAAGGGGTAGGCGGGAAGGGGGGAAGGGGGTGTGCTTCGGGGCGGCTCGAGCGACTCGCTTCGCGCTTCTGCTCTCCCCTTTCGCCCCTCACCCCCATCTTTATTTTCCTTGATGAACGTTCCGTGTTCGCCTTGTGATTTTGTTCGCATTACACCACACCACACCATCAGACACACCAGGTGGCATGTTCCATCCATGCAGTGAATGCATGCCATGCTTGGCTTGGGGAACCTGTGTGGTGTGGGCTGGCTGCTTCTGGCTTATAGCAGCCTGGGTAGGACAGGTGGGCAGGGAAGTGGAGGGAAGGGAGACAAGGCAGGGTAGGGATTGAGGGGGAAAGGAGGGAAGGGAGACCAGAGAGGGAAAGGTGAGCAGTGGGAGGGTCGGAAAGAGAGGATCGGGGCATGGGGTTTACAGGTTTTGTTGGTGGGGAGTGGGAGCAAGAGGGCGTCAGTGAAAGTTGGGGGAATGCAGGGTGGGGATGGGATATCATCGCCCAATCAGAGTTTGGACCACTTCTGTCTCCCATCGCCCTACATCCCATCGCTCCACCTCTCACCTCCCCACCTCTCATCTCCCCACCTCTCATCTCCCCACCTCTCATCTCCCCACCTCCCATCTCCCCACCTCTCACCTCCCCACCTCCCATCTCCCCACCTCTCATCTCCCCACCTCTCATCTTCCCACCTCTCATCTCCTCACCTCTCATCTCCCCACCTCTCACCTCCCCACCTCCCATCCCCCCACCTCCCATCTCCCCACCTCTCATCTCCCCACCTCCCATCTCCCCACCTCTCATCTTCCCACCTTTCATCTCCTCACCTCCCACCTCCCCATCTCCCATCTCCCCATCTCGTACCAACCAACCATGTATCTGTTGATTGTTTGGAATTCCCGAAACTGGCCCGTAGTTATGCCAAGTCAGTCACTGACCTTGCTGCCGCGGCCAGCAGCAGCAGCAGCCTCGGCGGCCCACGGGGTGGATGAGCCGAGCAGGTTGAGCGACCGCTTGGCGCAGCTGCGCTCATCGCCGCACCACGCGCCCACTGGCAGGTGCACGTGCCAGTTCGCCCGCCCCGCGCCCCTGCCCCGCCGGATGTAGTACCCCGGGGGACTGCGTGGGTTGGGGGGAGCGAATGAGAGGGGTTGGAAAAGGCCGAAAGGAAAGGAGAGGAAAAGAAAAGCTAAGGGAGAGGGAGAAGCGAACGGGGGGCATCGGCTGTTGGAGGGAGGAATGGAGGAAAAGTGAGGCATGCGGGGTGGGTGGCTCATGCGGTGGGACACGAAACCATGTAGTGGGGATGAGGCAAGGCAAAAGAGTGGGTGATAATCTGTGCTGGACTACGCACGGTGCGTGCTGAAGGTGGCGCGCGGGTGGCAAAGGCTGAGGGACACGCGTTACAAGGGAGGGCAGGGTTGAGTGCTCTTTGTCGCATGTGAGGGAAACGGGCGGGATCATGACGGGAGAGAGATGGATGATGTCCCAGAATTGCGAGGGACCCATCGAATGAGCAATATGCGTTTTTCGAAAATCGTCGACGTTCGACGTTCTCTCAACAATTTGTCGAGGTTAGAAACTCTTCTGACGAAGCTTTTTCGATGCTCGTGTTCTCTCTTGACGATGTCAATCCTATGATTCCCTTTCGAAGCCGCGTTTTCCGGCGGAAAGCAGAGAAACTGTCATTACCGAATGGCGCTTATCGCGATATGGAGAAAATCATCCACTCCCGTTGGGAGCAGCCGCGACTGACGCTACCCACACGGAAGTTCCTTTCTTTCCCCATGCCTTTCCCCCACATTGCCACCCCCCTTCCCCTCTAACGCACTCACCTGCCGTCGAGGCATTTGGCGCCGAACGAGTTGTTTCTCAAAAGCACGAGGTGCACTGCCCCCGGATTCTGCGTCTTTCTCGACGCCCGCGTCGCTTGCGACTCGAAAGAATCAGCAATCGCGTCCCTGATGGAAGCTTCGCCGCGGATGCTGCTACCGGCGATCGGCGCGCGATTGTCGCCGTCGACGCGAGCAGTATTGCTGAGGAGGAGAAGCAGCAGCACGAGTACGGGTATTCTACTCGATGGAAGCCTTGATGAAGGAGTTTTTGAGGTTATTAATGGCGTCTGATGCGGTCCGACGAGTCCATTGAGGAGTCGTCTCCGGCGCGCACGTGGTGGTAACGTGAAGCAGTGGCGAAGCTGCGCGTGACGCACCGCGGGATCCGTCTCAAAAATTGCGATGGGCTCAACTCACCCCCAAGGCAGGTCACCTCGGGGCTACCTACACCAACTTCATGCAAACTCATCCCAAAGAAAACCCGGAGTCACAACCAGGTAACGAATTTCACCACAGACTAGGCACAGGGCCCAAATGATCCAACCGACTACTGGCGAAGCAATTTCGCGTAGTGGCGACGATTCGCCAACAGTAACTGGCATTGGATTGGAGACATGTTACGATATCTGAAGTCAAACAACACCACCAATGCAGCTTGTCCAGCACAGCACAGTCGTGACTGATATTTTTTTGCATCCTCGCTGTACTGCTTGGTCATCAAAATGAAACCAACGTCGCTTCCCGTCCATATACCGTACCCACACAGGCAGGTTCGGGCAGATTGCATGCGTGGTTCGGCTGCCAGCTGACACAGGATAGCGAATGAACTTGTGAGTGTGCAATTTTTTGAGACCACGTCGCTGACCGTAACTTGTGGTCGAATCTGTTCAAGACACGTCGCATCCTTGACCAATCCTGCCTCTAGCTACCCCCACCCCAACCTTGACCTGCTCCAACCATGCGTTCGTCCCCAGCTGCTCCTTCAAGAGTCTCGCTGTTCATTTCTTGATTCATTCGTAGTCCTCTGTCATACTTTTCTCCTCACTCTCTTAGCTCGAATGCCCGCGTCGCGCGACTGCCTCTTCCTGTTTTATTTTTCCCTGCTGCCTCTATGGTCGCAGTCTTATCATCTTTCCCGTCGTCAGCTTTTTACAATATATCTTTCCGTGTTTTTTTACGTGTTTCTCCTTGTGCCTTTCAGTAAATATGTTGACAACTCGAACATGGCGCGTCAGGCAGCACTTCGACCCGTAGGCGCTGCCATGGAAGAGTATGTCGGTTATTCCTATCGTCATGATGTCGTACACTTTCTCCTGGGTTTCTTGTTTTGTGCTTGTTCCCACTGTGTCACTTTTCATGATTATCTTCAACTCAATAAGGCGCGTGAGGAAGCTCTTCAACGCGCGATTCTCGACATTGTGAATCGGTAAGTCGGTTTAGATATCGCCTTCCCGCCAGTTTCATTTGTTTGTGCTAGCAGTGTTCGGGTTATCATGTTAACAAGTCTGTCAGTGATCCTATAAAAGCCATGGCTGGTGTTATGGGATGTTGTTGAATTTGTTTGCAGATCGGTACCTTTTAAGAGACTTTTACTTCATCTTCACGCAGCAGCAGGTGGGATATTCAGTCTTTTGACTCATGCTGCCGTCATAACTAACAGTTGTGCCTTTTGCAGAGTTGCAGCTTGTAACATGGTTTTTAACGTCTATGAAGAACGTTTCCACCAGTAAGGGTGATTTGTTTGCTTGCGTAGAGATGAGTGCATGTCACATATACTGGATCAAAATTAGCTATGAGAATGCTGGAATGTTTGTGAAAATGTTTCTGTTTTGTAAAAAAATCATCAGACGTTATAAATAAATTATGAAACATTATACTTGTCCTCGCTTCTAGCTACCGTAGTACGAATAATATTGTGACAATATGTGATTATAGTATGAGTATTTCCTACTTGTGATTATAAACGAGTGGGCATTCATATTGGTTTAACAAGTCGAGTGTTCTTTGGTTACTTTCTCGGTTACATTCATTTTCTGGACCAATCAAAACGACCCTCGCCAGTCGGGTTTGCGCGAACTGTGTTCAGTTCGTGCTCACCTCTGGTGGCGATCTGTAGGTGACTCGTAGGTCACATCGGGTGCAAGTGTTCACTTTGTACCATAGCCCGAGTAGCACCTCGGGCTAACCTACAGGTGGGTTACTTCGGGGCGACTTTAGGGTTAGCTCAAACTAACATCCGAGGCCCAAATTTTTTGAGACGTCACGTTGCGAAGGCATTATGGCTGCTGACTTTCATAAGCTGGCAGGCGCCCGCCCGAGGTTCGGGCCGTGTAAGCGGCAGTTGTGATAGTGTTACGACGGTCGAGTTACTTACTAGTAGGGGCTGATTCGAAAATGGGGGACTATGCAATCTGCGTCTGGAGGCGGATTTGAGACAATCGAAATTTACAGCTTTCGAGTGCAGGAGCTGGTTAGAGGGAAGGGATTTGGGGGGGTTCTGATCAGATGTGGTATATTCCGATAGCTGTGGTGAGGGACGGTATGGGCAACTGGGCAATTGTGGTTCGGACGGGCTTTGCGTGTTTTGTGGCATGGTATGGAGGGGGATTGTGGTTCGGCGAGGTGGTCGGGGTTTAGCAGGGAAATGTGCCGCGGCTCCATCATGTGGTTCAGGGCGGTTGTTAGCATGCCAGCTGGTCGGCTTTCCAGACATGAAATGTTTTGTGACAGTGTACGGTTTGGTTTGGTGTGGTTCGCTATGGTGGTGTCGTGTATTGATCGAGGGCAGACATCAAGGCGACAAAAGGGATGTTTCACTGGGGACAGCCAGCTGGTTAGGCCAGCACCCGTTCTTGTACAGTACCTAACCTCGAGAGCCCATCCCTCGGTAAATTCGACGCCGCCTTTGACCAAATCTGGCGACTCCGCAAGTCGGCCTAGTCGCCTACTGCTCAGCCTTCTGGTCTACAGAATCAATAAAAATATTAATGAAAATATGCATTTCATTTACAGGTGCAGACTACGGTAACTCCACAATCATTCCATGTTTGAAATCTCAAGGCGTAGGTTGCTCAATTCACACCATACATTGCCACCAGACAGTGGCAAATACATGTCACTTAGCAGCCCTGCTAGCCAGCACATCCTGACTACCGTAAACGCGCAGCCTGTGTGAGCAATCCGATCAAGGAAACTGCAAAATAAGTGGACATGTTGCAAAACTGAAACTCCTTACAGTTTTCAACAGGTTATGTAATAAATTTTCAGCATGCGCTTATAATACTGTTAGACACATACCGGTAAAAATAACGCTGCGCTTATTATTGAGGACCAGATATACGTAAGCGCAGTGATCCATATAGAAGCGCATGCGCTTATCATAGGCCCGCGCTTATACATGTGGCACAGTACCACTAGCACCACCATTACTAGCACCACCATTACTAGCACCACCATTACCACAAGCACCACCATTACCACTAGCACCACCATTACCACTAGCACCACCATTACCACTAGCACCACCACCACTACCACTACCACCAGCAGCAGCACTACCACTGCCACTACCATGAACACCACCACCACCAGCACCACCCGCACAACCAACACCATCAACACCCGCACCTTCACAACCCGCACCACCAGCAACATCACAAACACCACCACCCAACCCACCATCACCAGCACCATCACCACCACCATCACCCGCACCATCACCAACACCACCATCAGCAACATCACCAACACCACCACAAGCACCACCACCACCACCACCACCACCACCACCATCACCAGCACCGTCACCAACACCACCACCACCATCATCACCAGCAGCACCATCACCATCACCAGCAGCAGCAGCAGCAGCAGCAGCAGCAGCAGCAGCAGCACGGCTATTGCGTATAGCCGCTCGCCTTTCCCTACTCCTCCTCACCTTTTCCCGCGCAATTTCCATAAACTTCCTCAACTCCTCCTCCATCTGCTCCTTCATATCATCCACCAACCTGTGCGTCTCCCCCTTCACCCAGTCCACTATCGCCCACAGCTCCCTCGCATGCTCCTCCCGCTGCTTTTCCTCTTCCGCTGTCAAGGGTTCCACCATCGCTGCCATGCTAGCCTTTGCTCCCTCCACAATAGCAGCCACGTTGCTTCGAGCGTACCTCAGCAGGATCGCACAGGAGCCAGTGAGGGGCGGGGGTGGGAGGGAGAACGAGTGTGGGTTGGGTATTGTGGCCACGTGTGGGAGAGGCGGAGTGCTGGAGGAGATGCGGTGGCTTGGCGGAGGGCGCGGGGCTTGTGGGAGAGGAGGCGTGTGAGCAACAATTGGGACGGCTGGGATGGTGGGGATGGTGGGGATGGTGGGGACGGTGGGGATGGTGGGGATAATTGGGGTAGACGTATGATCCATGTCAGCGGCACTGCCTCCCTGCCGAACCTCATCATCCACGTCCACGCCAGTAGCACCACCAACCTCCCCTCCCAAGCTCTCCACATTCCCAATCACCTCTGCAGCCCTACGCCTTTTCGTCCTCCCAAGATGTTCCCCCACACCTGTCCTTCCTCCTCCCTCCTCCTCGTTCACCTGCTCTCTTCTCCCCCTAGCATTCCCAGCAGAGCATCCCCTGCCATGCGCTTCGTGCCCCTTTTGCTGCTGCCTGTCTCTCCTCTTCACACCCCTTCTCACGCCCATCTGCCCAATATCTTCCTCTTCCTCTTCCTCTCCCTCTTCCTCTCCCTCGTCCACCTTCTCTTCCTCCTCTTCCTTCTCTTCCTCCTCCTGCATCTCCTCCATCTCTCTCTTTCCATCCCCACCTCCCTCCCTTCCTTCCAAGCACCACGTCCTCTGAAAGAAGGTAGGACCTCTGGATCTACACAATCCTTCTGCTGCCTCTCTCTCTTCCTCGCACCTCTTGTCTCGCGCACTGGAAATTCCTCCACCTCCTCTGCCTCCTCTTCTACCTCCTCCTCTACCTCCTTCTCTTCCTCCTCCTCTTCCTCCTTCTCTTCCTCCACCTCCTCCACCTCCTCTTCCTCCTCTTCGTCTTCTTCTTCCTCTTCCTCCTCCACCTCCTCCTCCACTGCCTCCTCCTCCTCCTCATCTCCCCTTTTCCCTACCCCATCCCCATCCCTCCCACCCTCCCCATTCCTAACCCCTCTACGTGCCCTACTCTCCCCAACCCGACTCCTCCTCCCCCTGATCCTCTTCCTCACACGCCTCGGATCACCCCACCCAGCAGGGGCCACATAGCTGCCTCCTTCGGATGGCAGCAGGAGGGCAGCAGGCACAGGCACTCTAAGCTCATCGAGAAACATGCACGCCTGCGCCTTGCAAATGGGCCAGACCTTGGCCTCCCGCCGCCCCGTCTCTTTCAAGTATCGCTCCCTCGCATGTACAGATGCCCGCAGCAAGTGCAGGGGGGTGTTGTGTAGCTCCTGCCGCCCGGGGGAGGGGGTGGTGTGGGGCGAGGGGGGGTTGGGTAGGGTGACGACTCGGCTTCCCTCCGCCCTGTCTCTTTCATGTATCGTTCTCTCGCATGCACTGACGCACGGCGCAGGTGAAGAGGCGTGTTGTGTAGATCCTGCCGGGGGAGTGGTGGAGTGGGGCGAGGGCGGGTGAAGGTTTAGGGATGGCACGAAGGGGATGGAACGATGGGGGGCAGACAGGAATGGTAATGGAGAAAATAGGGAGAGACTGGGAATGAATGAAACATGAAGCATGGGAGGGGAAGAGAACGAAGGACAGGCAGATGAGTCGAGATGAATAGAGATGAATAGGGGAACGAGAATGACAGGGTCATGTCAAAACGAATAGTGGTGTGGCCTAACCACCAAATACGTAAAGCAGCAGACAAATGATACAGCAACGTGGTCGGGCCAAAACGATAAGGAGGAGAGGGGGTAGAGGAAGGAGGGGTTGGAAGGGGTGGGAGGAGGCGTGGGAGGAGGAGGAGGAGGAGGAGGAGGAGGAGGAGGAGGAGGAGGAGGAGGAGGAGGAGGAGGAGGAGGAGGAGGAGGAGGAGGAGGAGGAGGTGTGGAGGGAAGGGGACCGACCAAGGGGCCGAGGAAAGGGTGGAAAGGAACGACAGTGTCATATGAGTCGAGTCAGAAGCGTGAGCGTGAGCGTGCGCGTGCGCGTGAGAGCGACGGACCCCTTGGAAGTAGACCATGCGGTTCTTGTGCGAGAGCACGAAGCCCAGGTCATGCAGCGTCGCGTCCAGCACCTGCTTGCCCTCGCCCATCAGCCTCGCGCGGATCCCGTACCACGACACCGCGCATGCGTCCGTGCCCCGGGCCCCCGCCCCTGGCCCCCCTCCCGCCCTTGCCCTTGCCCCCGCCCCCGCCCCCGCCCCCGCCCCCGCCCCCGCCCCCGCCCCCGCCCCCGCCCCCGCCCCTGCCCCTGCCCTTGCATCCTCCCGCCGCTCCCCCAGAGCCAGCGGAGCGGAGGTCCTCTCTGGCGGTCGGCGCAGCGGAGCCATGCGCGCTCTTGCTCGCCACTGCCAAATCGAAAAGAACTGTGTCCAGGGTACTTGATGCGTCCGCTCCTGATTTGAGGCACTTGATAGTCGTACTCCGCGATAGCGCTTTGCGACACCTGCTGCGCCTCCTCCTCACCCGTCGCAGCGAGCCGCTGTTCGAAACAACAATCTCCAATTTCTACTCTAGCGGTGTCTATTTCTACTACGTCTGTTTCCCTTCAAGTTTCTGGTTGGTTTATACCCTTGCGACACTGTCTGCCTGGCGCCAGGTGCGGCGCTCTTCATGGCCGCCGCAGCCAGAAAGTGGAAAAGGAAAACTATCTGTGAGTATCTGAAATTTTAGCGGCGGACGTTTCTTTATTCCAATAAAGGCCGCCTTGATAGACGAGGTGCGACCCGAGCATTATAACGTGCGACACTGCGTACACGTACCAGAGAGGTCGCTTTGTGCACCTAAGAAAAATCTGGCAAATTTGACAAAACCCAAACGTACGAACCGAACCGAACCGTACCGAACCTTCAGGACGCCCACGTTCGGGGGAGGGGATCTTTGTTCTGTCTGACTGGGTGATTTTGGGAAGGTGTACAACACCCATATATTGGGTTCTTCTTCTCCTCTAATTATACTCGTTCCGCTCACTTCTCTCTCAGTGTGATCCTTCCCATTCCAGATTCCAGCTATCCTGGTTGCCAAGTTTGCCCCACTAGGATCAATTGACAGTTGGAGTCCAAGGTGCATCGGAAAATATCGTCGTCGTTGTAAGGGCTCTACAAGACTAATCACTCTCAAAAATTTCTAGAAGGTTCAAGAAAGACGTGTCCTATATCTGGGAAAATACATTACCGTATGTGATATGAGTTCCTTCGTAAACAACAAAGACTCTATAGAGACAAGGCTTTATAGTTAGCTTGTTTAGGGGTTGCACTGAACAACGAGGGACCTGTTACCGAGCATTTTCTAAATTTCCAGCAAATTTCTGTCTTTCTGCTCTATAGTGTCGCCTCGCAACCTGACCTGTCATTTCCCCCCAAATCCTCCCTCCTCCTGGACATGGGACCTCTTCACAACGGTCCGTAATATGCCTCATCCTTCTCCTTCTCATCTCAGATTTCTAATTCCTTGGGAAACGTTGGAGTCAGCAACTCATAGTTATTAGCGACACAAGTCTGTTCAGTTCTCCACTCATTCGTGGAAGCACAGCTCTAGGGATTGACGTGAGAAGCAATTAAGACAATACTCTTCAATGAGTATGCAGAGCAGTCGTCATAGAGCAGAGCACTCGTCATAGCATTTCAGACCTTAATCGTACAGCACACTAGATTGCATATTACAAAATAAAGTATAAAAATAAATTGTCGGTATCCAAACTATTTAGATATAAAAATCTACCGTATATGGGAGGGGGGGGAGGGTTCTAAAGTAGATCTAGAAATGTTTTCTGGACTAGGTGGCAGGTCCGTATGTCAAACAATATATGCATGTTTAGGTTATCTAGGCTGTATGGGGGTTAGCACTAGGGGGTACAATATTTCTCTCGACATTGTTCTTGTACCCCCCCGTTGACCTAATCACATACCACTTCCTAGTATTCTAACATGGTATTAAGAGCTAGGACGGTCCTAGCCTAGGACCGTAATTAAGGGCCCACCACATTCGTTTTCACCTGCCCGACCGTTAGTTTCTGCCCTGCCCAGCGTTTCGCGCTGCCCTGCCCTTTTCTGCCGTGCGCAGCCCGTACAATCCGCGTAGGCCCGAGCACAGCCCGTACAGCCCGCGCCAAGCCGTCGCGCAGCCCGTACAGCCCACGCCAGGCCCGCGCGCAGCCAGTACAGCCCACGTAGGCCCGTCGCGAAGCCCGTACAGCCCGCGTAGGCCCGTCGCGAAGCCCGTACAGCCCGCGCCAGGCCGTCGCGCAGCCCGTACAGCCCACGTCAGGCCCGCACGCAGCCCGTACAGCCCGCGCCAGGCCCGCACGCAGCTCATACAGCCCGCGCCAGGCCCACACGCAGCTCGTACAGCCCGCGCCAGGCCCGCACGCAGCCCTTACAGCCCATGCCTGGCCCGCACGCGGCCCGTGTTACTGCTGCACTCACGCTGCTGCTTCGCTGCTGCGCCTGAACTGCTGCTGCAGTGCTGCTGCCGCGCACTGCCCTGCACCAGCTACGCCGCCCCTGGAGCAGCCGCCCCTGGACCCAGAGCAACCGCCCCTGGCCCCTGAAGCAGCCGCCTCTGGTGCAGCCGCCCCTGGTGCAGCCGCCCCTGGACCCTCGAGCAGCCGCCCCTGGACCCAGAGCAGCCGCCCCTGGCCCCTGAAGCAGCCGCCCCTGGAGCAGCCGCCCCTGGACCCAGAGCAGCCGCCCCTGGCCCCTGAAGCAGCCGCCCCTGGTGCAGCCGCCCCTGGCCCCTGCAGCAGTCGCCCCTGGTGCAGCCGCCCCTGGACCCTCGAGCAGCCGCCCCTGGACCCAGAGCAGCCGCCCCCGGCCCCTGAAGCAGCCGCCCCTGATGCAGCCGCCCCTGGACCCTCGAGCAGCCGCCCCTGGACCCAGAACAGCCGCCCCTGGCTCCTAAAGCAGCCGCCCCTGGTGCAGCCGCCCCTGGACCCAGAGCAGCCGCCCCTGGCCCCTGAAGCAGCCGCCCCTAGTGCAGCCGCCCCTGGACTCCGTGCAGTCGCCCCTGGACCCCGCGACGCCGCCCCTGGACCCGCGTCGCCGCCCCTCGCCCGGCGAGCGCCTGCTCTTCCCGCCACTGGTGAGCACCTGCCTGCCTGCGCCATCTGCCTGCCTGCCTGCCTGCCAGCCTGCCTGCCAGCCTGCCTGCCTGCCTGCCTGTCTGCCTGCCTGCCTGCCTGCCGCGCCTGCCCTGCCCGCGCTGCTACTGCTGCTACTTCTGTTACTACTGCTAGGCTACTGCTACTGCTACTGCTGCTACTGGCGGTGGCCAGATGCAGCTCCAGCGACGTCCACGCGAGTCTCTCCCGCCCCAGCAGCTTCGTGAGTGGTACGCTAGTTGGGGTTGTGGCGGTAGCCGTCGTAGCTGTCGCCCTGGAGCTGGTCAGTTGGGAGCGTCTGGCAGTAGCCAGCTGCAGCTGCAGCGGCATCCACGCGAGACACTTACGTCCCAGCAGCTTCACGAGTGGTACGCTCAGAGTAGAGGGTCTTTGAGTACCGTTCGCTGCCCGTACGTCATTCGCACAGGTGATCGGGCTGGTCAGGCTTGCGGGACGCTTGGTCACACACAGTCCCGCTGCTTCGCCCGTCTGAGCGACGCCTGGCGTACCGAGTTTGGCGACGAGGCTGAGCTCCCCACCTGGCTGGAGCTGCTTAGGCAGAGGGTAGATATTTTTGCTCTTGACTATGATGCTATTCTCACTGCCATGTATGCATTGCCTACTAGTGCTGACGGTGCCTGTTACCTGTGCGTACCGCCTGACCCAGGTATAGAGCTTGCTGCTCTAGGTGCTGGTGAGGCTGCTGCCCTAGGTGCTGGTGAGGCTGCTGCTCCAGGTGCTGGTGAGTCTGCTCTCTCAGGTACTGCGTCTGCTGAGGCCTTGTACACCTTCACACTTGACTCAGGTGCTTCCCGCTCCTTCTTTCGCGACAGCACCACCCTCACGCTGGCAGACCCCTCTGGGGGTCCAGTCCTTGCGCACTCCTCCACGGTCCTGCCGTGTCCGGCGGTCTCGTCTGGCTTCCTGTCAGGTCTTCACCTCCCCTCGTTCTCTACGAACTTGGTGGGTGGTGCTGACCCCCAGGACCAGTGGGTTGACCAGTTCACCCCTGGAGGTCAGCGTGTGACCCACTGTTCGTGCTCCCGGACTGGTCGGCACCTGGCCACGTTCACCCGAGCGCCTGGCTCAAGTCTGTACACACTGACTACTGTGTCCCCTCAGGTAGCTGCGTCTGCGTCTGCGTTTGCGTCAGGTCAGATAGCGGCCCCCTGCTTGTGTCGCGCTTTGTCACACCAGACCCTCCTTTGGCACCACCGCCTTGGTCACCCCTCGGTACAGCGCCTTCGTAGCATGCACCGCCGTTTCCTTGTTTCTGGACTTCCAGAGACTCTACCTCCTCTACCACCCTCGCCTGCTCCTCCCTGTCTTCCCTGTGTCGAGGGGCGGCAGCGCGCCGCTCCTCACTCCTCCTCGTTCCCTCCCACAGAGGCTCCCCTGCAGACTCTCCAGCTGGACGTGTGGGGCCCAGCCCGCGTCCGTGGACAGGGCCACGAGCGGTACTTCCTGCTGGTCGTCGACGACTACACGCGTTACACCACGGTCTTCCCCTTGCGCAGCAAGGGGGAGGTCCCTGATGTTTTGATCCCCTGGATCCGCACTGTTCGTCTCCAGCTCGGCGAGCGGTTCCAGACGGACTTTCCTGTCCTGCGTCTGCACTCTGACAGAGGTGGTGAGTTCTCCTCAGACCTCTTGGCAGCCTATTGTGCGGAGCACGGCATCCGCCAGACGTTCACGCTTCCGGCCTCTCCGCAGCAGAATGGGGTTGCTGAGCGCCGCATTGGCTTAGTCATGGAGGTCGCTCGTACCTCCATGATCCATGCGGCTGCCCCCCATTTTCTGTGGCCGTTTGCGGTCCCGTACGCCGCGCATCAGCTCAACCTCTGGCCCCGTGTCTCCTTGCCGGAGACCTCGCCCACACTGCTTTGGACGGGGAAGGTTGGCGATGTGTCGCATTTCCGGATCTGGGGTGCTCGTGCCTTTGTCCGCGATACCACCGCGGACAAGCTCTCCGCCCGCGCTGTTCCCTGTGTCTTCCTTGGCTTTGTCCCTGACGCGCCTGGTTGGCAGTTTTACCACCCCACCTCGCGCCGTGTCTTCCCCTCTCAGCACGTCACGTTCGACGAGTCGGTTCCCTTTTACCGTCTCTTCCCCTACCGCACTGCCCCTCTCCCCCCCCCGCCGCTCTTCCTCGCTCCAGGTGCTCCCCAGGTAGACCCCCTCCCCGCTACCGGTCCTGCTCCTTCAGGTGTGTCTCAGGTAGACCCTCCTCCTCAGGTTGAGGTCACTGGTGACTCGGGTCCTGCTGAGGGTGGTCCTGCTCGGGGTGCTGCTTCTGGGGGTGCTGAGCCTGGGGGTGCGGAGCCTGGGGGTGCTGAGCCTGGAGGTGCGGAGCCTGGGGGTGCGGAGACTGGAGGTGCTGAGCCTAGGTGTGAGGAGTCTGGGGGTGCTGAGCCTGGGGGCGCTGAGTCGTCTGGTGAGCAGTCTCCTTGGAGCGGCCGTCTCCGTAGTCGCTCCGCTGGTGCCTCGCCGCTGCACTCTCGTCGTCGACTCCCTCTCTCCCCACAGCAGCTGCTTGAGTGGTACGCTGGCCGTCAGGGTCGCGCTGCTGGAGCTA